ACAAATGATATTGATGGACGCTATCATAAAATAAAATAAAAAAAAAAATTTAAATGAATTTAATTAATATCCTAAAATACTTTTTTCTGAATTTTTTCGATACATTGAATGAACAAGTCGTTCAATAATTGAAGATGTTATTAATGAAATTGATAGTAAATTTTCATTATCATAATTTTCTTGTTGAAGTGTACCATAAAAAAAATGAATTTGATTGAGACAAAAATTCATAACATAAAGTTCCACTTGCCCATAGATCAGATCTATTATAATCGAGATAAGATTTTCAACCAGGTTGACGTGTTAAAATCTTTTCAAAAAAAAAAAAACAAAAAACCAAATAAATAAAATAAACGATATGAAAGAAACAACATAGAAAGAAAGAAATTTACTTCAGATGTCATTAATGCAGGATTGCCACCTTTAGAAATTTCATGTTTGATATGAAACTTTTAAATCTGGTGGATGATAAAGTGCACAACCAAAATCTGCTAATGCTCATTCACTTGTTGTATTACATATAAGTAAATTATCACTTTTTAAATCTCTATGAACAATTGAATGTTTATTTAAATATAATAATGTTTCAAGTAATTGTGCAAAAAATAATAAACGTTGATAATTATTTGGTTTATTTAATTGTATATATTCATTTAATGTTAAATCATATTTTCTCATAATAATAAATAATGTTTTATTTCTTCTATAACTATCTGATGATAAACGTGTTGGAATTACCATTCGATAATATTCTTGTACTTCATTAAATAATGAAGATGAATCAACAAAACATGAATACATACAAACAGCATTTGGATGATGAAAACATTCACGTAATGGTAATACTTCTTTTTATATAGCTTTTTTAATTGCTTGAGCATTTGATTGTATACCATAATTATATCACATTTTTATTGATAAAGTAAACTTATCAGGTACAAAAAAATGAAACCAAGTTTTGTTTTTGTGAATTAAATAATGAAAATAAATTTTACCAGGTAATATCAGTGGCTGAGCCAAAGCTTTGAACGAGGGGGTCAGCTCTCTCTCTATAGACCTTTTAACCTCCATAACAAATAAAATGCACGAATGAAAACTTTCGGTAAGAAGGGAAGACTGACACCCTCCTAGCTTCCTTGGCCCACCATTTATTTTGATATGTAGAATAATTGTATGTTGATGCAACAAATTTGTGATTGAATATGATCAAAAGCTTATCTGTATTAACAGCATAATACGAAAATGTCCATGACAAGAAGGAAATTGTTAGTAAAAAAATTTATTAGAAAATTTTCTAATGACAAAAATGACGGCACTTCTTTAGTTATATTTATGACTAAATAATCAATAACATATTAGAATTTTTTTAACTGATTCGTTGTGAAGCAAACAATGATATATAGATGTCGACAGTGCGACATGTATCTTTTATATTCTATTCATAGTTATATCGAAATGATCTTTCTTGACGGATGACTGTATCACATAATGGATTATTGTTGTTACATATGGCATTGTTTCGTTGGGTATAAATACATCGTTGTTTTAGTCTATTATTGTTCACATCGTCACGTCTGTAATATGTGTAAATCAAAACAAGTAAGTGTTTCCTTGTATTAAGCCACTCACATTAAATTCAAATTTTCTTTTACAGTAACTGTAGAGAAGTATATTTGCGTGTGTTCGATTATGATGTGTTTATAGATTGATTGATATGTTTAAGATTTAGTGAGGACAAGCGCGAGAGCGGCATGTACGCGATGATGGGCTACCTGAGAAGAAGGACTTTTTTAAGAACTATTGCTCTCTATTTGTACATATGAAATGTTATATTCACTGTCAGCAGATAAGTTCGTGAGTTTAAATACATCTCAGTGCTGACAGATTTTGTCTATATAATTAGCGAACTATTACTTGTTCGAAAAAAAATGGCTGCGAATAGTATTCATAATATTGATGATCCTGTAAGATGATCTTATTTTTTAACAATGATTAAAAATTCTTTTCTTTAGATAACTGATCTTAATAAAACACAACTTGTCCCTGAAAAAATTATAACTGGTATTAGAAATGTTATAACCGAAGAACTTGCAAAAGCTGAAAAACAAATTCAAGTAGAAGTTCAAAATCATTTAATTACAACAAATCGTCTGATTGATGTTGAACGAAAACTTAGCGAACAAGAAAAGAAAAACATGGATCAAGAAAAAAAAATCACGGATCAAAAAAAAGAAACTGATGATTATAAGAAAAATATTTTGGCCCAACAACAAGAAATTGATAAACAAAAAACATCAATTTTGGCTCAACAAAAAGAAATTGATAAACAAAAAACATCAATTTTGGCCCAACAAAAAGAAGTTCAAGATTTACAAACGAAATTGGATAAACTTGAAAAAAAGAACTGCTCAATTAATATATTTAAAACCATTACAACTGCTGTAGCTGTTGCCACATTAGCTACAATTATACACAAATATATAAAATAATAAACTTTATCTTAACAATTTTGATCTTCCAAATTGTTTTATTTCTAAATTTAATTTTTTTTTGTTTTCTATTAATACAATTTATCATTAATAAATAAAAAGACTGACCTAAAACACTTGTTCAGTAATCGTAGAGCAGAAACATTGACATTATGGTCGAAGCAATTTATTTTGTATTCATAATCTGTCTAACTCTTTGCGCTTATATCAAAACAATTTTTTTCTATTGTAGCATTCATTTGAGGATTCTTCATTCTATGAAATTATAAGAAACATTTTCGTACAACAATACATATCTCGATAGATACTGAAGTTTCTACTGATACAGTTAAACATTTGTTCTTTTTTAGGATAATACGTGCAATGATTGTTGGGTATCAACATGCTGTAGTGCCGTACAGTTGAAGGCGAATTACATTATCAAGGTCTTTAAATATGATTATCTTTTTGAAGAACATGATTAAATAAATAAATATTTATCATTGCTTTTTTTTTATTTCAATCAATAGAAGAACAAAAATGTCGTTCAATGTTGTTCTTTTTCTACATTTTAATTTAATATGTACAAAAAAAAAGGTGAAACAACAAACAAACTTAAAGTTGATTAAGAAATGTTTGTGCTTGATAAAATGATTGAGAAATTTG